TGGGGGTGGGGTGGGGAATGGGAGCCATGTCTAGGATAAGCCATCCTCCTGGTCTCCAAGGAGAAGTATTCCATGGGTGAGTGGCAGGATTATTATAGAGCCATTTGTGTTTGCTCTAGCCCTCTACCCTCTCTAACCTGCTAGTTGGCTTTTCAGAACCCCCAGATCAGGGGAGTTTGGGCTGCAGAGCCAAAGCAAAAGTGTTGGTCCATTTCCCCTTCACCTGTGGTGGGTAGATTATGCCAGGTGACGAGAAAGGGGAGGGAGAGCAGGGAAACTTTGGCCCTGAGAATAGGTGAGGGGTGGGGTGGAGAAGAAGTTAACCACGCCCCCCATAGCCACAGGACTCTGTGCCCCACTAGTGGCTGTACCCAGGGAGGAGGTGGCACAACCTCAGAGAGGCCACGCAGTGGCTGAAGACTTGACCTGTTCTTTGCTTGGAAGCCTCTGAGCAAACAGCTTTTAAGTGACACATCAGGCTGGAAAATTAGGATAATAGCAACAGAAAGCCCTCACCCTCATTTTCTAGGCCTCCCGGATTCCCTGATTACCTAACAGAAGCTCAAGATTTCCTGCTCCTGGTAGGACACAGGCTTAGAGGAGCCAGATTTAATCAGTTTGATTAGTTCTGCGTGGGGGATACTGGAGTGCCAGGCCAAGGAAGCTCAATCTCTTCTGGTGGTTTTAGGGTACACTGCCTCCTGTATACTTCCCTGATAGGCCAAGCGAATTCCTAAAACAAACATTGCAGCCATAAGACTGCTGTTTCTAAATGAGTGCTTTCCTTGTTAAATCATTCACTTCATTAAGATTTCTGGGATGGAGACTAGACCTAACAGTCAGACCATTGCTCTCCCTGGAGACCACCCCCCACCCCACTCCTATTCCCCTGACACTGTCCATGCTAGAATTCTTTCTTGGGTACCCTACATTCAGTCAGTCACCAAACCCTACTGAGACTACCTCCAGATGATCTCCCGAGTCCATCCCTCTGGTCCCCCCACCATCACTACCCACCCAATTCTTTCTCACCGGCCTGAAATACAGCAGCTTCCTCTATAGCCCCTTGTCTCTGTCCCTGGCACTCGAGCTGTTTCCAGAACTGCCTTCATAGAATTCCAGCTGCGTGTTTAAACAGCCATGGGAGCCCCTTCCTTTCCCACTGGATATGCTTCAACCCCCTCACTATGACATGCAAATCCCTTCAGAGTTTGGTCACTTTCCTCCCCCCATTACCGCCTCTCTCCAAGCATATCTCAAACACATCAGAGCCTGTGCAGGACTCCACGGTCAAGTTTCATAGGTGGGAAAATGAAAACAAACATGCAAATACCAAAAAGCCCCTCAAACGAAGAAAGAAGAATGCCACCGAGAATTCTCAGGAATCAAATTCGGTTTGCACTTTTGCCCTGTTGCCTATTCCAACCCTAGCTTTTCTGAACCTTTCCGTTCAAGTGGTCTGTGTTCCTTGAAAAGCCCAGATTCTCAAGGCAGCTGATTGGTTGCTGCACAATCAATGGACCACCTCGTCTCAGGAAAAGTGGCCATCTCTAACTAATCAGTCAGGTGAGATGGGAGATTGTCATATGGTATGTGGGGGCTTTTCCAAGGGCTGAGATCTGGGTAGCTTCTCCAGAGCAGTACTTCCAAGAAGCAGAAATGAGCTCCGTGGATCTGTGGGGGGATGGGGGGTGGGGTTGTGAGTCTACACGTACCTCTAACAAGCTCCTGAGTGATGTTGATGCTGCTGGTCCATGAACCACACTTTGAACAGGGACACTCTATAGGGACAGTCATCAGGACATGGAGTAATAAGTATTCAATACCTTCCTCTCATTCTAGAATGTTCTCCAGTCTTTGTGGCCATGAAGAATTCTGCTCAGTGTTTAAGGTACGGTTCAAACATAACTTCTGTGAAGGTTTTTGGGCTGTCGTGGAATTAATCTCGTAGAACTCCTTTCTGACACCCACTGATCATCTGTCTGATGGTTACTTGTGTATAGCAGTCCCCTCCAGTTTTGTTTATTCTACATATTTATTCACATACAGTTTTTATTTATGTACCATTTTGATGGGCAGTCTGAGTTTTTTTTGTTTTAATTTTTACTATGTTATGTTAGTCACCATACAATACATCATTAGTTTTAGATGTAGTGTTCCAAGATTCAGTGTTTACGTATAACACCCAGTGCTCCACGAAATCCGTGCCCTCCTTAATACCCAGCACCAGGCTCACCCGTCCCCCGACCTCCTCCCCTGCAGTCTGAATTTTAACAAGAATGTACAGATCCAGAGCAGTCGCATCACCCCCAAATTCCCTCGTGCTGCCCTTTGAAGTTCCTCCTCCCCTCAACCCCAGCCCTTGGCAACCACTGACCTGTTTCTATTCCTATACTTTTGTCTTTTTCAGAATGTTATATTAATAGAATCATACACCATGTAGCCTTTTGACTCTCCTCCATGTTGCTGTGAGTATTTATGGATCTGGGATAGTATCAGATTCCTCTGGAGTGCGCTCCAGGTATTTGCAGTTCTAACAGCTTCCAGAGGATGCTGATGGTGTGCTCTGGGAACCCGCTTTGGGAACCATCAATCTATAGGCTCTAAGCTATTAGCAAGGGTCTCGGGTGATTCTTACATGCCTGCAGTTTGAGGAATTCCAGCTTCAGTGCCACCTAAAGGGGAAGGAGCAGGCTTGGGGTACTTTTTTATGCCAAACATGGCTCTCTGTCCATGGCATCAATCCCACTTCATCAGGGATGACTTCTTCAGCTCCCATTGACTCAAGAAGCAGAGAACACTGAGATTTGTTTGATTCAGTCATTCTCCCTTTGGGAAGGAGACCGAGATGAAGGCCTCTGGCTCCCGCAGAGGATGCCAGTGCCAGTCATGCGCAAGACCAGTTCCGGTTCTCTCTAGTTCTTCACACAGGCTTGAGCAGTGTTGGTGTGGAAACCCTGTGTGAGTTTGCATATTCGGTCCTAGGGAAAACCAATGAGATTAAGGCTGGCTCCGGACTTTGAGGGACAGCTCCTGTGGACATCGAGGATTAGCGGTAACAGCTGCTCTCCTGCCCATTAGGGGAGGAACAGAAGAGACACAAAAAGACTTGCTTAAAAGATGCATCTGTGCAACTCTGAGGGGGGAAGCCAGTCCATCAAGCCTGAAGGAAAGTGTGTTTCTAGGTAAGTGTTTGTTTTCCTGGTTCTGGTAGACTAGTGCTGGTGGGAAAGCAGAAACCTCAAGATTTAAGGAGGGGAGGGTGGGCTTTGTGGGGCACGGCCTTGCCCCTTTCCTCTGTAGGTGTCTATGTTTGATCTGATTTGGGACTACCTTCTGCTATCAACAAAGGCTCCAAGGACATTTGCTTGTGGTCCTTGTGGAAGAAAATGGAAAAGCCCTGGGTCCCCTCAACTGAGAATGTGTTTTTATAGCTCATTGTTCATGATCTCTTAATGGGCCTAGGAAACTGCAGGAATGGTCCCTTGTGGTGGAAAGGTTTTTGACTTTTTTTTCCTCATGGCAAGCAACCCTAGCAGAGAAAGTTATTGTCTGAAGGACTCTTAAGACAAGTCCAAAAGACTGGAATTATAGGTCACCCTCCTATCTCCTTGTGTCTGGTCCATGTAAGAGGCAGGGTGGTGGGTGAAGACAGAATGGGGGTAGATGACATTGGGTTACTTGGTTGTTTGGATTATCTCCTTAGCCCACGGTTTTTATAGCTACTTTTGCTACGTTGAAAGTATTTTATTTTTATCTTTCATAACTAGCTTATTAGAGAGGAGGGCTGTTGCCTTGCATGGTTCCTTAGATCAAGATACTAGCTGAACTTGAATAATTCCTGTGGATATAAAAATATAAAAACAGGGGCGCCTGGGTGGCCCGGTGGGTTAAGCCGCTGCCTTCGGCTCAGGTCATGATCCCAGGGTCCTGGGATCGAGTCCCGAATCGGGCTCCTTGCTCAGCAGGGAGCCTGCTTCTCTCTCTGCCTCTGCCTGCCTCTCTGCCTGCTTGTGTGCTCTCTCTCTCTCTTCCTCTCTGACAAATAAATAAATAAATAAAATCTTTAAAAATATATATATAAAAACAAACAACTCCTTTTGAAACATGCTCGACAGTCCTAAATGTTTATTCAGAGACCTTTCACTGTTGTGTTTGCTATCTCTCCCATTATTCTCATCTGAGAACTTCCTTACACAGTCAACTTCAATTCTTTCTGTCCATGGCATTAGAGCTAGCAAACAAAAGTGAAACTTACTCCCTAAATATTATTTTATCCAATCATTTAATTCTATTCCTGAGCTAACCCCCTACCCCCCACCCTCAGTAAATTTAATAAGGTGCACAGTGGATCAGCTTGGGTGTAACTCCCTCTGCCCATCTTCTCTGTGAAAAAGTAGTGAAATAACTAAATGAGTCAGTAGGAGGAGGGACAAGAAGATACCAGAGTGTTGCAAATTTAACAGTTGCTTCTAAGTAATTAGTTCATAGTTGGGAGAAATTCTGTACCATTCAACCCTCTACTTTGCAATTGTAGCAGTAAGACACTAATCCAAGCCACCATATGCCTTGCTGCCTGACCATATTGGAATATTGGGTGTCTCAACTTCACCAATAATGTATTATAGCTCACACTGCCCTTGGATATCAGACAGCTTGTAAAGAGTTCACATTAGGATACAAATTTTTTCTGGTCTTATTTCTTTGACTTAATTAAATCCTCTTTAAGAAGAAGCCATCTGGTCTAATGAGAAAACTATAAGAAGAGAGGTATTTTAAAAAAAAAAATTGTTTAGAAATTGAAACACTTCCTACAGCCTGGCACATCCTTTTGATCTTGACCTTGAGCCCTTGCAATCTGGGGAGGCGGCACTAACGTTATCTTGGGTTTAAAGGCAGTGTATATTCAGATCGGTCACATTCAAAAGGACGTCATATCATTTTCTGAAATAGCATCTGGATTGAAACTGTTGTTTCTTGTGACACAGGAAAAGGGCAAGATGAAGGTCTTGGCTGTCCTTGGAGGCTGGGCTTGGGCAGCCCTCTGCCTGGGTTCCTGCTCAGCTGCATTTTCCCATGGTGCCGGCTCAGGGGCCTGTGAGGACCTGCAGCCCAAACACATTCAAGCCCAGCCTCAGGACCCACGGACCCACCACGTCACCATTCACACCGGTAGATCTTCCTACTCACCGGGTGACACGGTTCCAGGTATGTACGGGAGAGACTTTGCAAGACCCCACGGGACCCTACTGACCGATCCCAAGCTGTGTTTGTCCCAAGCAGGAGTTTCCTCTGCCAACGTTTGACTTAATCCTAAGAAGCCGTTATTTAGACAAAGATAAGTTATGAAATATTTGTATCATGAGAACCACATAACTAATCTCTATATTGATATTCCTTTTTACAAGAAGGCACAAATAGCATTATTATAAAAAAGTTATCTGTCCTACTTGTAAGATAAAAATGTAATCACCCTAAACAAACTTCATATATAGCGTGTGCGTGTGAGAGAGAGAGAGAGAGAGAAACAGGATTTTGCTTCTCATTATTTAAAACTGAAGTTATTTACAGAGTGGAAAGTATTTCCTGCTATTTTAGTTTGGGTGCCTACAAAAGCAGAGAGAACTCCAGGTGCCAAAGGCGGTAGCTGAGTCTACGCAGCCATGAGTAAATTCAAACACATCAGCGATGTTGGCTCAACCCCCTTCGGACTTTGCTGATTCTTTTGATGGAAATTAGAGGTGATAAATCAAAATAAAATTTACTCTGGAAGTACTGTTTTGCCCAATCATTCTGTTCTGTTGGTAAGTATGGGGAAAAAATTTGTGAGCAATATATTGACCCCCATAGCAATATACTCTCCAAACTGAAATTCAGGCTATTCCAACAGAGATTCCTAAACTTTGTCACATCAGGATACAACGAGGAAAGGATAATATGTGTAGAGTGTGCTGGGGCATATGTGAGGGGCTGCTCAAAACTGGAGGCAATTTTCCTGGGGGCTCCAATCGCCACAGTATGCAGCCAGGCACCCCAGCATGAAGGGATTAATATGTTGGCACTCCTGTGTTCTGTGGCTAAGGGAATGAAAATGGTAAAAATCAAAGCACTATATTAGGGAGAAAAAGCTGTAAAAACGACCCAAAATATCATGACACCCAATTTTTTTTTAACTTATTTGAGACAGAGAGAATGAGAGAATGAGAAGGGAGAGGTCAGAGGGAGAAGCAGACTCCCCACTGAGCAGGGAGCCCGATGTGGGGCTCAATCCTGGGACTCCAGGATCATGACCTGAGCCGAAGGCAGTTGCTTAACCAACTGAGTCACCCAGGTGCCCCTGTGTGACACCCAAATTCTAATAAAAGACCTGAAGGAAGCAAATTGGATTGTGGTTGGAACTAGGACACATATATAAGAAAGAGCTGGAGGGAGCACTTCCTAGATTCAGTGAGGGTCAATTATTACTTTACTGTGCTGGGATTACACTGTTTTTTCTTTTCTTTTCTTTTCTTTTCTTTTCTTTTCTTTTCTTTTTTTTCTTTTCTTTTCTTTCTTTTCTTTTCCTTCTTTTTCTTTCTTTCTTTCTTTCTTTCTTTCTTTCTTTCTTTCTTTCTTTCTTTCTTTTTTCTGGGATCCCACTAATCTGTGAGCTCCTTGAAGGTAAGGACCATGTTATCCCGTTCATGGATGTATGCTCAATGCCTAGCACAATGTCCAGTTTTAAATAATAACTAAATACTTGGACAAATGTTTACTACTAAGAGTTCAAATGCATGGAAAATAAAATGATCACAGACACTAAGCTGCATTGAGCAAGCCTATGAAGTTAAGACCCTGGTTTTTGCTACTCATTTCATTACAAATGAGTTTGCCATATTATTTATGTCTGTAAGAAAAATTTCTGCAGGGGCGTCTGGGTGGCTCAGTCATTAAGCGTTTGCCTTTGGCTCAGGTCATGATCCCAGGGTCCTGGGATCGAGACTCACCTCAGGCTCTCTGATCAGTAGGGAGGCCTGCTTCTCCCTCTCCCACTACCTCTGCTTGTGTTCCCCCTCTCACTGACTCTCTCTGTCGAATAAATAAATAAAATCTTAAAAAAAAAAATAAAAGAAAGAAAGAAAGAAATCCCTGCAAATGAAATTGCTAGATCAAAGAGAAACTGCATTTCTGGGCTTTTTTGTTATGTGCTAAAAAAAAAAAAAAAAAAAAAATATATATATATATATATATATATATATATATATGAATGACATAAAATTTGCCATTCTAATTGAAGTATACAGTTCAGTGACATTAAGGACATTCATGTCCATTCAATGTTGTACCCCATCACCATTATTCATTTTCAGAACTTTTTCATTATCTTAAGCAGAAGCTCTATACCCATTAAACAATAATCTCCATCCATCTCTCCCCTCAGATTCTAGTAATCTTTATAATCTTTTTGTCTTTGTGATAATTTACCTGCCCTAGGTACCTCATGTAAGTGGAATGTACAGTATGTCATCTTATATCCACTTACACTTAAGCTGATTTCACTTACTGAAACTTACATGTAATGTCTTGCAGTTCCTTCCATGTTGTAGCCTGTATAAGAGGTAACTACATTTTAAATATGGAAAACATTATTAGGTTATCTCCTCAGAGAGTTGCATGGTTTATTGTTCTAGCGCTAGTGAATGACTGTCCTGGTTTTTCCACAGTGCTATTAATACTGGTTATAATTCTACATTTTAAAGTTTGTTGAAAAGATAAGTATCTCAATAATGTCTCATGATTGTTTTTTAAATCATGATTTTTTTTATTTCAAGTCTTTATTTAAATTCTAGTTAGTTACCATATGGTAAAATTGGTTTCAGGTATAGAATTTAGTGATTCATCACTTACATATAACACTCAGTGCTGATCACAAGTGCCATCCTTAATAAATCATGATTGACTTTATTTTATTTTATTTTATTTTGTTTTATTTTATTTTATTTTCTGTCTGTGCCCTTTGATAACTTGGGATTTGGTCATCTTTTTATTGATTCACCATTACTCTTTGTATATTTGCCTGTTTTGTATCTTTACAAATACTTGGTTTATAATTTGTCTTTTGATTTCTTTGATATTCACAATTTTTTTTACATCATCTTTTTCTTTATGGCAATTGGGTTCTTCTCAGAAAGGCATTCCAAACTACAATATTTTTTAAAAACCACATTTTTCCTAGGGTTTTTTTTTTTGTATTTCATTTTGACATAACTTTGATCTAAATGGAATTTACTTTGGGTGTGAAGTAGCACTTCAACTATTTTTCCCCCTAATGAAGTGTTTACTTTTGGGGGGCTGGTCTTAAGCTTTTAGTTTTGAAAATACCCGTATAAAATCAGTAAATGGAACCACATCAAGAGGACTCACCTCAGACGGACGTTTTCTGTTGCAGTGACTGTGAGGAGCAGTCGAGATTTCATGGGATTTCTACTTCAAGCTCGAAGAGTGTTGGATCACCAAATAGCTGGCACTTTTGTTTTCATGCCTCCTCATTCCAAAGCAATGGCTTGTTCTCAAGAGGCTGACACAGTCACCCACTCTGACAAGTCCCGGAAGAGAAACCTGTCCTTCGAGTGGAAGGCCCCTGCCTAGCCTGTGGGGGACATCACATTCCTGTAAGAGTGAGGGGAGTGCTCCTTCTTGGTAATGGAGCCTTACCCTCTGAAGAGAAGGAGCTTCTGCTCTCCCTTCCTTCATGCTTCAGCCCCTACCTCCAGCCACCTCATGACAAGGACAGGGTCATGAAGACTGTCCCAACTAGACAGTCAGTGCAGAGGGTAACCAAAAAGGAAGTTGCCCCCAGCTCCCCTCTCTGTCATTATCCATAGCTTGGGGGCACGTGATTTCCCCCTCCTCTCTGGGCACAGATGCATCTTGGCCAACCTTTCCAGGAAATTTGGACCAGAGGAAAAAGAAGGACCAGTGGGAGAGTAGGGGAAACTGAGAAAGACAGGAACTGAGGCAGACAGATAAGTGGACACTTACTCAGGCCCAGGGAAAACCACTGAGGTCTCTGTGCCTTGGCTTGTGGTCTATCAGATGGCTGATGACTTAACTGACTGAGCTGCCCAGGTACCCCTAAGTTAATCAGATTTTTATAACTGCCTTCTGATTATTTAAACTGGGAAAAATGATTCCAGCTGATAATCCCTACTTCAGTGAAATTTGGGGGAGGATAAATGAGATAATGTTTGCGAAAGGGATTTTTACTAAAGAAAGCCATTAAGTATTCAAAATATTAGTTAGAGTACCAACAATTTATCTCTGATTTTCAATGGAATCAACAATTACAATAGAGCTGTACCATTGTACAACAGAATTATGAAATTTTCAATTAACAGAGTAATTCAATTAACAATATACCAGTAATGGCTAATAATAAAGTTAAAGACGGAACCTTTTGAGACTAAACAGTTCAAGAAGACACCTTTTAGTCTAAATGAGGTTTTCTAATGACTGTATTTATTCAGGAGGGGAATTTAGACATATCCTTCCCTGTTTTAATTATTTGCCACTATTGAGTTTTTGTTTCTAAAGAGAGTGGAGTCACACAAAGGGCAATACAATCATCTCTTCAGTTTTTCTGTTCACGTAGACTTTTGTTCTTCTTCAGGTGTGATTTAAGGGAAACCAAACCCTTGCAACATTTTGCTTTCTTTTTCCACAGTCTTTCAGTTGTCCAGTCATATTTCGTTTACTGGGAGAGGATCGAATCATCTGCTGTGTCTCAACAGATACACCTCGGAGCCCACACTGACCGTCGCGAGCAGCCCAGCTCACCCATGCCAAGCTCTGGCCGGAGTCGGGAGGCAACTGAGAGCTCCACGCCAGGTACAGCTTGCCGCAGGACTCAAGAGCCTGTCTGGCAGCTTATGGGAAAGAGAGGGGGAGGCAGCTCCCCGCTGAGCAGGGAGCCCGATGTGGGACTCCATCCCAGGACCCTGGGATCATGACCTGAGCCGAAGGCAGACGCTTAACTGACTGAGCCTCCCAGGCGCCCCTAAATTAATCACATTTTTATAACTGCCTTCCGAATACTTAAACTGGGAAAAATGTGATTTACACTTAGAAGGTACTACAGCCAGTTCCAGTTCCTGCAACTCAGGCACTAAACACTTGCCTCGGGTGGCCACAGCAGCTCACGGCCAAGGGCAGGAGGGCCCATTTGCCATTGCTGTTTGTCCACGGCAACCTCACAAATTATGGGGGGCCTTGGGGTGGACAGTTGAGTTCTGCCACAAAGCCAAACAACAGCACCCCCCTCCCTCCACTCCCTCACTTACCAGTGGTCACGGCATCTCCTTGGGGTTCTTCAGACCCTTGGAGCTCCACGAGGAGTGCAAGAAAGAGATGATCTTTTCTTCTTTGTACATAAAAACTCTTCCAGCTTTCATTGTTACTTTCCACGGTAGGTAGATGGCTCTTTGCAGTCTGGGTTGGAGAAAGGAATCGGGAATGAGAGGCTGCTTGGACGGCAATGGACTTCTTCCCTGGTTCACCACATCAACCCAAGACTCCTTTGGCCCATGAACTTCTACAACAAAACAAAACAGGAGAGCACAGCGAGAATACAGCTACAGAATACAGGGGTCGCCTGAAAATTGCTGGGGATCGGGAACTCATTTCCATTATTGATTTCTAGCTAAGTGCTCTGAAAGGACGCACTCAAAGAGGCCACCCGCATAGACGCTCCCATCTTTAATCCTTTCAATTCCACTTTCCTTGACTCTGTCCTTTGTTCTTGGCCAACATGTTCATGCCCGACTTGGCTCAGGCTAGCACACCCAGGCACATGCCCCAAACCATCTTCTCCCCGCTGCCCAGCACCACTCACCCAACCTTCCCACCAAGATATTCCAAAAAAGCAGAGTCAAGATCTCAGGGTCTGACAGTGTGGCCTGGAAAAGATCCTGCAAAGCCATCGTGTGTTTGAAGTCTCATGTGTCTTTTTCTGTCATGCAAATGTTGCATTTTAATCCCAAGCATGTTTGTTTTAATATGAATGTGACTAAAGGTGAGGTGTCAGGAAGTGATATCACGACTCTGCTCTCTGTCTTGGGACCCTGCTGGGAACCTTTTCCCCCACGGGGTGACAGACTCCCGTCTGAGCAGCTCCAGGGTAAACTCCTCAGTATGCAGCTGCATACATTCCTGCCCTCCTGGCCCAGGCTGTTTTCCTGCCCATTCCTCTACACAAACCCCAGGGGTTCTCAAAGGTAAAAGGAGTGTGTGTGTATATGTGCATCATGGCAGGGGTAGGGGAGGTCATCTAGCAAAGTGAAATAGATTTCTTGGGATGCCTGTGTGGCTCAGTCAATTAAGGTGCTGCCTTCAGCTCAAGTCATGATCCCAGGGTCTTGGGATCAAGTCCTATATCGGGCCCCCTGCTCAGTGGAGACCCTGCTTCTCCCTCTCCCTCTGCCTGCTGATCCCTCTGCTTGTGCTCTCTCTCTCTGTCAAATAAATAAAAATCTTTAAAAAAATTTCAAAAGTGACTGCAGTGGCCAAATAAATGATGAATCATGAATTTTCGCATTAGGAAGATAGTATATTGTACTTTTTAAACTTATTTCCCAGTAAACCCTCAGGACACTTTGGGGTCTACCTAACCCCATTGGGCATGATCTCCATGTTTTGCCTTCTTACACTTCCTCAAACTGGGCTCTTCTTCCTGCTTATCTATTTATCCTTCAAGGGGAGGTTCAAAAATCTCCTTTGTGAAATTTTCTCCTGTACTTCTTGGGAGGCAAATGTAATTGCTTTCTCAGTTCTAGATTTAAAGCTCTCATCACACCATCATTTCTAAGACTGGGCATCTGAGAGTCTCTCCTCCTGGATTTCGAGTTCAGGAACAACAACGGCCACTACGCAGCTCTTCTGTAGCCCCCAGCATTCACAGTGATGCCCATCACACGATGAGTCTGCAGGGAATGTCTGAATGAATTCCGAGTTCAGGCAGAAGTATAAGACTGTTGAGCTTTTGCCACATTCTGTGTGTCCATTAGGCTTCTTTGTTTTTCACTTTAATTCCAATGTTTTGGAGTGTTGAAGGCTTTGGAGAAGAGTGGGACTAAAGGGGGGGAAAATGCATTTCAACCCAGTTAGAGCCCTGGCCAGAGAAACCTCCGCTAATGTGTTTTTCTGTGAACACCATCATAGTCATCCTAAGAGTTATTACAGTAAACCTTCATTGCATGTTCACCTGTGCTGTGTGCTCCATGCTTCTACATCAATAATTTTCTTTCACCCGTCAGCAGCTCTAGGCTATAGGAACCATTATTGGTCCCATTTTGCAAAGGGAGAAACTGATGTTCTGGGAGGACTTGCCCCAAAGAAGGAGTTAGCAGAATGGAGAACTGAACCCAGTCATCCGACTCCCTGGGCCTTGCTTGCTTGCTGTGCTGTTTCTAATTTCTATTTCTAAAGCTCTGGGCTGTCATGTTGGCCAGTCACAGATGGGAAATGAGATGGTGGAGAGCAGTGGAGAGCAGTGACCTTGACTCTGCCCATGGCAGAGGGTCAAGTCATTATCATCACCAGCGAGACTTTTACTATTAATAATATGGCAGGAAAGATCTAGGGCTTTCAAAAATCTTTGATTTGTGGGATTCTGATTTTGTTTTTTTTTTTTTCCTAGCTAGAAGCAGTTTTTGGCAGAGGTAAGAAAAAACAGGCAGGGTGGTCACAGTGGTTTCTATACTCCCTGAGTGGTGACTATTAAAAACACACAAATCCAGAGGGCCAAAGACTTACTCTTTAAAGAGATACTACAAAACGAGTCCTTTCCCACTTGGTCAGGGGCTTATATTACTGGGCAGATCATCCTTTTATTGATACTTTTGAGTAGCCCAAACTTAATGGTTTGTTTTAAAGGTACATTAAAGTCTCTAGTATTTATCCCAGTGTCATAGTTGTTTGTGTTAATCAATACAAGGAAAATGCTCTCACTCTCTCATGGTGTCTTTGGATCTCTATTTAGCTCCCAGACCCCCCAGCGCTCTTCCTCAGCAAAATGCAAACATCTTTGCCGTTGCTCCAACTGGAGCTGCAGAGGATAACAGCTTAGATCCCTTTCCTGCAAGTTTTTGGGTGACAGAGTTTCCTGGGGGTGTGGAGACTCTGTTCCAGTCATCTTCACACACAGCTACTGCTGTCAGTAATGGCCAGCAACCCAGAGGGGACATCAACAGAATCCTTGAGCCATCCCTGGATATCCATGGGCTGGAGAGACTCATGGCTCTCAGGAGAGTCTTCTCAGATGCTTCCAGCCCTAGCACGTACCTCAGGTAATGGGTCAGGGGTGGATCATTCAGTGTGGGGGTGAGATAAGACCAAACCCTGGGGTGCTGAGGGAGTCTGAACTTCTTGGCATCTGACAGGAAAAGATCTCACCGTATTTATTCTTAAGTGCACAGGAAACCCTGATTGTAGAAGGACTACTGGCCAAAAGGGCTGGGTATGAAAATCTCCTGGGAGGAACTGTATTTTCTTGGATAGGGTGAGATCTCTGCTATGTATTATTTATAAAATCAGATATAAATGTATGTTTTATAGAAGAGATGTAAAAATTTATAGTATATAAATACATATTTTATATAAAATAAATAAAAGCATTCAGTGAGGCTTTGTTGCTGTACTCACTTGCCTCTTCCCACCCCCTCCCTCCTTCCCCTTCAGCTCCTAACTCCAAACTCAGGAGTCTTTCCAAGGAAATCTGATTTTGTCAGTATATACAACAATGGTAGGGAATGTTGCTTTTTGATCCGTATACATAGTCTTCTCTTCACCCTTCTATCCTTTGCTTTAGGACTCAGGATGATCCAAGCTTTGATTCATTGGAAACTTGCCTACCCTCATATAGGGATGAACAGGTAACAACCATGTTTGTCTGTGGGTGATAGGGTTGATATTTTGATTCCAGTGTGGGAAGTTCCAGGCTGGGAAAGCAGAGCTATTAGACTAGTAACCAAAATTTGAGAGAAGGAGGCAAGGGTATGATATATATGCAGCATCTTTTTACCAATCAATACCAGCCTTTCTGTTACACACAGTGTCTCCAAAGTTATTGACAATTGTAGAAATTGATAGTTTTAGTGATTTGTTTTCCCACTTAGCCTCAGTTAATAATTCCTGTCTCCCCACCTCTCCACCCCTTGCTTTATAACGTTGGCCTTGAAACGCCATGTATGGTTCCAGAGGTTAGATCAATGGGCAATATAAAATATACATGCCCACTGATTTACTATTCCTTTGAAGTCTTAAAAGGAACACAAAATAAAACATGGTATAATATACTTACTCATATTTATTGGAACCTACAACAGATTAAATGCCATCTTGTGTGGGTCCTAGCATAAAAAGACACTCAAAGCTTTCTGCCCTTGGAGATGATAATCATGCATCTCAGTCTGGAAGCTCCGTAGAGGACCCTAGGTTTATTCTTGTGACTGGCCTCTACGCTCTCTTTGTGGGGTTTCCATTAGCCACCTTATCCCCATCAATCACAAGGGCATATCTATCTACTTGAGCATTTTAGGAGCTCTTTCAGGAGCATGCACCAGCCTGGGTTTTCAGCTGCTGCCTGGGATCTTTTACGAATTCAGGTTAGGTGTTGAAAGAAACACAGGTTAAGTGTGAAGTTGGGTGGCAGCTTGGAAGAAGACCAGGTCTTTTGACTTCTCTTTTTTCCCTTTCCTTTTCTAGGACAAAATGGAGTCCTCTAATAGGACCGTGATGAGGCCCCCTCTGTCTACTGCCCATTTTACCTATCCTCAGCACCTCTGGTTGTCTGAAGCACTTACTGACAATGGGGCTGGGGCAGCCACCCCAACCCCTGTCTTCCCCCCATCTGCCACTTCCAGGTCACCTGCTGCTGGAACCCAGTTAGAAACATGGAGGCCTTCTCTCAGCTTCTTAACTCAGCCAAAGCGCAAGGAGCCCAGAGTAGGGGAGGAACATGGTGGGGACAGAGTGGGATACCCCAGGAAGACCAACCCAAGGCCTGAGGTTGGGCAAGAAGGAGCCAGTGCCCCTTCAGGGATCCAGCTCAAGACTTCCCAGCTGGGAATCCTGCTTTGCCTTTCCGCCACCTTGGGCATGGCCCTGGCTGCTGGCCTCCGCTGCCTACACGACCAGTATTGCCACAAACGGACAGAAGTGTCCTTCAGTGAGCCTGCGGGGGATGCTGTTGCCAGGAGCGACGGTGGTGAGACAGTGCATGTCAGGAAGATCAGGGAGAACAGTTTTGTTTTGGTTGAAGCGGACTACAACTGGACCGCGTCCTCTGTGGGTAGCGAGAAAACAGTGCTCTGAGCAGACCGTCGTCCTAGGCCTCTGAGTGGCCCTTCTCAGACCCTGCAGTGTCTCAGCCAGAACAGAGCTAATGAAAATAGCTGATGAGGACAGGGATTCGCTGTGCCCCCCACTCAGTGAGCAGTTAGTGGAGGAAGCTGGGAAAGGACAGTTTTATCAACAGAGGGAGTTCTTCCTGAGCTTTGTTGTCTTAACATCTGTAATTTAGCTGCTTTTTTTCTATTCACAATTAGACGTTCTGTTTGAAGAGTTAAACTCAACACAATGAATATTGTATAACCTGCTCATTAACTAGACTCCTGTGGCCGCCAAGCTTCCTCTGTTGCCTTAAGGAACCTGCAGAAATAGAAATTCTATCCCTCCTCAGTATGTCAGCATCATCCCTTCTAACTCTTTGAAAAAAAGTAACATTGAGGTTGTGTCTCTTACAAGATAAAGAGCTGGAGCCTCAGTTTACCTCTCCAAACCGCCCCCAGAAGAAGTTTCATTTTTAAAACTAGCCTTCAACACTGACTAGGTGAGTGCAAGGGTATTCAGTCTTCTTGGAAACTAGGAAGCCTGGCAAATCTGCCTCGGAAATTAATCTGAAGCAAGAGAGTTTTCGAGAGCTTGATGGAGCACATCTGTGGGGGAACGCGTATGTGCCGCATAAACACCAGAGTGGGGTAAGCTAGCTTCTTCATCAGGTGCAAATGGATCTGGGACTTCCCATCCATTTACACTTGATGGGAGGCTTGTGTATCCTAACAGCCAGCACACATACTGCCTTTTGCCAAAGGTCAGGCTGGGAAAAAACTTGATGCCACACAGTCTGCAAAAGAGCCTTTACTCATCTTTTCAGGGAGAAAAGGAAGACCACATGTGGACAAAGACCAGATCTTTCTACTGTCATGATTTATGAAGATCACTTTGACTTAGCCAAGTGTCTCATAGATGTTATGTGAGGCCAGGACAACAGGTGTGAATAGACCTTTTGAATATGTTCATCTAATATGACACATAGAAATTGGCTGTCTTTTCAGAGGTAAACTTGTTACAGAGTCACAAAACATTTTAATGTGGAAACGAAAAACCACTATAAATTTGGAAAGGGTGTTTATTTATCAAGTACCTAACTTACACAGGTACTGTGCTAAGAACTTTGTGTACATTTTCACATTTAACTCTCACAATAACTTAATGCAGAATAAGTTCCATAACTTGTTCAAGAGAGAGGGGCATTCATGACATCTCAATTCAACCACAAAAACATTTTTTTTTTTTAAACTGGGTGTATGGGGAAAGAGATAAATCCTGCAGTTTTTCCAGCCTCTTTTAGCTCATAGGGCACTAATTCCAAGACTGTTTCCTCCTGGATCTGTCCCCTGGCTTCTGTCAAGTGCCTCATTAGGAATATGGAGACCTAGGTAATTGTGTGTTCTCACAATTAAGTGTAAGTGTTCTAGGAATGTAAATGTTCTAGGAATACTGTGGAAATAAGTGAATGTACTATACTCCACCGGCGGCCAGAGCTATCCCTTCTACATATTCCTCCCTTCCTCAATGATCTCTTCCCTGAGATGCAGCTGCCAGTAGAGAGTCCTGCTCTGGCCAACAATAAAAAAATTACTTCACAATTGCCTGTGAAATAAATCACCCCCAACTCAGTCGTTTAAAACAGCCCCTAGCACCACCATTCATCGTCTTTCACAGTTTTGGGGTTGCCTGGGCTTGGCTGGGCAGTTCTTCTGCTCTATGTTCTGTTCAATGGGCTGGAACACCTGAGCCGACTTGCTCGTGTGACTGGCAGTTGGTGCTGGCTGCTGACTGGGGCTCAGCCAGGCCCCATGAGCATGGGCAGAAATTTCTTCCTTCTCTTCATGGCTTCTTATAGCACCGTTCCCAGAGGGGTGTTCCAAGCAGAAAAAAAAACAGAAGTTGAGAGTGGGGGGAGCTTTTCAGGCCTACCCTTGGAAGTAACATGGTTTCACTTCTGCCACTTCCCAGTGGTTACAGGAAGTCAAGAGCTAGCCTCCTTCTTCAATGGATTTGGCTTTCGGATGGGCGAAGTGGCAAAGGATTTGAAGCTCTCTTTAATTCTCCACCTCTCTAGTTAGACTGCTGGCCTGTCGCGGGGCTTCTTTGAGTGTAAAAGGAGGGGCTGTTCATCCCCAGGAGGAGCCCTGGGTCACCCTCCCCGCAAAGCATCGAAGGGGGTGAGGGAAATCTCAGGGTCAGGCATTTCCTCTTTGTCAGCTCCCCGGGGCAAAATAGTGAAGTGTGGCGGAAGAGTCAGCCAGACCTCTGAGTCTCTGCTTCCTCATCAGAGAAAACAGAATTCTTTACCGCTTTCAGTTGTCGGGAAGAGTAAACGCACGTTCAACCTTTAGCCAGCTATGACTAACTACTTAATGTCCCCTTGCAGCTGCAACACTATCTTTAAATCTAGTCCCTTTAGAGAAACTCTGTGACCACCCAAAATGTTATTCCCTTTCCATGACAGCTTCTCTCCTGTGGCCCCCCTCTCCTGCCCAGCAAATGGAGGTGGTCCCCGCACGAGTTGTCATGGTCGCCACTGGCTACAACTCCTGCTGGGGGTCAGACATTTTTGCGGAGACATTCTGAAGAAACTCTTCTTCAGCAGGGGCAGTGGAGTCCATAGACCTGCCTTCAGGAGACATAAAACCCCTCTGTTACTGTGAACTTGAAGGTCCTCTAAGCCTGGCTTCAGAGAAGCCCCAGAGGGGAGCCAGTAGGAAGTGTTAACCTCAAGGCATTTACTAAAGCACAAAGCCATTACAAGTTTAAAAAAAAAAAAAAAAAAGGCAAAGGATTCAAATGCAACATCTTAACATAGCTTTTTTGTTTTGTAGGAACAGCTACAGAACTGCTCTGTAAGCCATTTCTTCCAGAAGGGGGTTTAGGCTAAATAGACATTTAAGGGAAAAGAACAGAAAAACAATTGCTGAAAACTATATTTTCAAAACTCTTTGTATTCCAAACAAATTGATTGTGTTAATAACCGCAGATCCACAGTAGGGGTGAGCCTCAACCTTTATACATTGGGAGGCTATCTCTGATTTTTCTCATTGATTTCTCCCCTTGGATACAACACTTTTGCTAACTCGCAACTTAATGCTCGACTATAGTCTGATTGAATTATCCCACTGTTGAGGCTGTCTGGATTTTAATTTGCTGTGACAATGTTTGTTTTCCTTAAAAAAAAAAAAACAAAAAACAAAAAAACCCCCAAAACTCTAATTAACAACAATGACAAAAAAATGGGTCAACAAACCAGTAAATATTGAAACAAGTGTCATGTTTTATTTGAGAAGTTGTCTGGAGATGGCTGGCAATTTATGAATAAATTACAGACATACCCTCTCTCTTTCTTGGACTTTGGGGATTTATCAGTGATCCCAGCTTTTCTGGAATACAGGCTCTGTGATTTGATTTCATTCCACCCCAACCAACCCCTTCTTCTCAAAACGGTGTGTGGCAAGGAATTTCTTTTATTTAAAGTGAAATGAATTTACATTCCTTATTTTATTAAACTTGAGAGCATCTTCAGAAGAACTTTGCTCCCTCTGCAGATGGAAGGCCTTAGGGGGTTGCAAAACCAGGGGCAGTCACCTCTGGTTTAGAATATCAGGAGGGACTTTATGATAAAAGGAAGTCTGATGTTTCGTTCCTGATCCATGCAAAAAGGAAATGTGAACATTTTGAGACCCCGCTCCGTTGACAACTGGGTTGGAGCTGCCTGGACCACTGAGGCCTGTCAGATGTTTTCTTGGTGCCCTATGGCTTTGGAAACATAAATCTGTTTAGGTCAAGAGTCTCTAAAAGTCGTCGAGTGGCTTACCGTGGCTCTCAGAGCGAAGTGTCAACACGTGATTGACAGACAGGGAGCCCCGCCCCCGCCCCGCCTCCACCCCGCCCACCTTCCTGGCGCCCCGCCCCCGCTGCGAGGGCCTGCGCCCTGCTTCAACGCTGTACCGCTCCGCTGGGTTCCTTTGCTCTGGCTGTTCTTGTCGTCTGGAACCCGGTCCCCTCAGACACTCACAACCTTCAGAGCTTTCTTCCAGCGTTGCCTTATCAGAGAGGCTCTCCCGGCCATTACAGCCTCTTCTCACTCTCCTTGCCCCTCCCACTTTAGAATATTTATGGTCCTTCCTTTCCGGAGGCCAGACTCAGACGCTTCCCAAGGGCAGACACTTTGTTTTTCTCGTTGCTATTCCCCCAGCACCTAGAGCTGTTCTTCAGACACAGTAAGGAATCAATAAATGTTTGCTAAATGAGTGAATGAAAAGTTCAAGGTCCGTGTTCCTCTCCGCAGGCCTGGGTCTGGACTGAAGTCGAATGTGGGGGCCCTTGGGCGCTCGGGCATCAGGAGAGGCAGGTCGCTGTCTAGAGGCGAGCTAGAGCTCTGCGGCCCACGGTCTCCAGGGCAGGAAATGTCCTGTGTCTCAGATCCCAGGCTCCGGAGGTTCTCGGCAGGGAGGAACTGAGAACAGACTTAACCTCCCAATCCGAGGTGGGGCCGGAGGAGAGCTGAACGAAGTCTTTCCGAGAGGCTTACCTGTGCGCGCCCTTGGCTCAGTTTAGATGGTCTGGCACGCGGATTCTCAGCCTGCACACACTCCACATTTGGGGCGGATAATCTTTTGTTGCGGGGGTTGCCCTGTGCATCGTAAGATGGTTAGCAGCATCTCAGGCCTCTAGCCACTAGCTGACAGTAGCTCCCTCCTCCCCAGCTGTGACAACCAGAAGTGTCCCCAGACATCATCCAATGTCCCCTGGAGGCCTAAACCGCCCCCACGGGGGACCGCCGGTGTAGTAGCTAAGAGTTGCAACTGCAGGGCCCAGGATGAAGCAGCCTTTCCTGCATCATTTCCACATTCAGCGACGGAGCGGGCAGTGATGAGATAGAGAAACATAGGGCTCAAAAATTAGAAATGGTTTTAATGGTCATCTGACTCAGTGGTCTTGAACTTTTACCTTTGCTTAATTAGCTGGAACAA